CTCCAATAAGATAAAAGGGACATATATTCTTTATATTTTGTTTTGTTGGATTTTATAAAATATATAAAATATCTGAGATTTACGTCATATAAATCAAACAGTCAGTAGAGCATGCAAATGTAATGCTTGTGAATGTCACAATATCTAGATAAATCATTTATTTAAAAAAAAAATCAATGTATCATAAAATATAATTATTCATATTCAGAGTCAGAAACGAATTAAAAATATTATGCCTGCATACACAATTGTATTTATTATATTATATAATGAAACATAATGGATTGTTTAATATTTCAAAAACATGTAACATTTATATTATGGAGCATTGTCTGCCAACAAACAATTTATTTCCAGCTTAAATTGCTTATTTTTTAATCGTGTAGAAGAGGATATTATTTACTATATATTTTCCAGATAAAATTTACTACTTAAAGGAAAAAATAAACCAATGGAAAAATATAACATCCTAAAGAAAAAAAAAAGATTTAGAGGAAGATCTGACAAAGCTCACCGTCTTTCTTCTGTCTTCTCCATGGTAAAGTGCCATGGATACTCTCGACGTCTGAAATGTCACTGCCAAGTAGTTGTCTGAGTTCCGCGTCCGCTCGATCCTCCTTTGTTCGAAACTTACCAACCTATAATAAAACATCAAAATTTTACTTGCAAATATACGTTGAAGACTTCAAAGTTGTAATATGTTAAAAATCATAAATCATAATAATTCAAATAGATTTAGTCAGGTAGAAATGATAAAGAATAATCTTTATATCTATATAATAAAATTGCAAGTATATGCAAAAATTAAAGTATTTAAATATCAAAGTATTTAATTAAGTAATTAATTAACTATACGCCTCATATAAATTAATTTATATTGATACTATTATTGTATAACATAATTAATTTTACTATTATTGTATAACATAATTAATTTTATAACATAAGTTAAACTTGGGTTAAAAATAAAAATGCCCGACATAAGTATATAAATTTAATCATTAAGTGCTACAACAATTCACAATGAAAAATGTTGAACAAAAATGGCTTACCTCTGTTATCATCTTTCCTCTGGTTTTATTGCGTTCTCGATGATTGGCTTTCTTCTCGAGTTGCTGTATCACTCGTTCCCTAGTGGTCCTGTACTCCAGAGCAAATTCGGATACAATTCTACAAAACTCGTTCGGTTTTGTATCCTGTACTCTATGCAGCGGTATACCGAGCCAGAGGATAAACTTGCGGAAACGATTTATGATACGTCTGTGCACGATGTCTAAGACGATTATCCTTTCAGCGCAATCAGCAAGGAAATCAGACATTCTGTGATATAAAAACAAAGCTATGTATTTAAAAAAAAAAACGTAGTATGTAAATGTATTTAACTAGTAATATTATAAAAACATATGAAGCAAAACATAACAATTGTAATAAATCAGACATTCTGTAACATAAAATAATACAACTTCAAATAAGATAAAAATGTATATGTATGTGCGCGCGTGAGTGTGTGTGTGTGTGTGTGCGTTATTGCTTTGCTAAATGAATTTTTAATCATCATCATTCTGAAATAAGTAAAAAAGGATGAGATTAAAGAACAAGAAATAATTAAAAAGTAATCAAAAAATAATAAATAATAAATAATAAAAAATAATAAATGTAGGTCTATTGAGAGAATGCAAGTGCCAAATGATTGCCGACGAATGAAAATACTCGAGGGAAAAAAAGTCCTTTTAGTAATTAATGGAAACACCACTTGGAAGATAGCCAGTTTTACTAAAATAAAAAAAAAACAACTCCTTCCCGAATTTATCGAAGCCTCTCGGGACTTCTTAAACGCAAACACTCAGAAAGATTCACAGGAAGAGGTAAGTCGAGAGAGAGAGAGAGAGAGAGAGAGAGAGAGAGAGAGAGAG